GTCGGCTGGCCCCTGAGCCGGCGAGGATGGCGACCTCGCGCAGCCCCGGCGCCGTGTCCGCTGGCCGGCCGGTGCCGAGCCGCTGCGCCCGCCGGTCTGGCCGGACAGGCACGGTGCCGCGTCCGCGCGGCCGCTATGGTAAAGGCAAGCTGACGCACCGACTCGTGAAAAGACACTCGGCGGGTCCGTCTCATGCGACGGCCGGCCGAGCCGAGCGGCGTCACGATCAAAGCGGCGTGACATCCCGACCACGGGCTGGAGCTATTGCGGGCACGTCAGGGCTGACCACCGCCGGCTGGCTATTGCGGCTGTCGTCGGGTCACTGAACCCCACCGCTGCAGCTCCTGATCTCGGCGGGTCACTGAGCCCGACCGCTGCAGCTCCTGATACCGACGGGTCACTGAGCCTGACCGCTGCAGCTCCTGATCTCGGCGGGTCACTGAGCCCGACCGCTGCAGCTCCTGATCTCGGCGGGTCACTGAGCCCGACCGCTGCAGCTCCCGATACAGATGGGTCACTGAGCCCGATCGCTGCCGCGCCAGATTCCGACGGGTCGCTGAGCCTGACCAATGCCGCTCCTGATTCCGACGGGTCACTGAGCCCGACCGCTGCCGCTCCTGATCTCGACGGGTTACTGAGCCTGACCGCTGCCGCTCCTGATCCCGACGGGTCACTGAGCCCGACCGCTGTCGCTCTTGATCTCGACGGGTTGCTGAGCCCGACCGCTGCCGCTCCTGATCCCGACGGGTCACTGAGCCTGACCGCTGCCGCTCCTGATCTCGACGGGTCACTGAGCCTGACCGCTGCCGCTCCTGATCCCAACGGGTCACTGAGCCTGACCGCTGCCGCTCCTGATCTCGACGGGTCACTGAGCCTGACCGCTGCCGCGGCAGATTCCGACGCCTACAGGTCACAAACTCCGTCCGGGGCCGTATTTTAGTCGTAAATTACCGAACTTGTAAATCAGACTGGGAACCCATCGCCATCGCTTGAACTGCCTGGAAAATATAAAACCCACATGTTTCTGTCTCAGCGGAACTCCTGGAACGACATGATGGTAGTTAATTCAAAATAATTCAAGCAATATGACAAAGGCCAAATTACGATAAATAAAAAATCAAATCGAGCAAGCCCATGCCTATGTGTCAAACAACATACAATATGGGCTTCGACTGTCTCCGCAAGCTGGCCTCGCCGATTTGAGGCCGCACTTTCCGCCTAACTGTAAAGTCGTGAGCCAGAAGTCCGATAAATACATGAAGTGCCGTTACCAGAGTTGTACCTAAGTCCGCTACAGCAAAAAACGACCCTGGCTCCGGCCCAAAACGCACGGAGGCTGATTCGGACCACACCACAGCATAACTTTGAGCCGAGTTCGACTCCAACTCGAGGGCCACGGCCCAAATCCGCGTCCGATTCCAGCGGAGTCAATTCGGGTGGCAACAGCCGAGGAGACAACGTTCATGAACGCCGGTATACAACAGTTATGTTGATAATATGACAGCAACAGGGTGCCAAGTGTTCCATTTGCTGTAGTATAATCGTGAGGGTTGTCAGAATAAGAACACCTTCCGCTGCTTTGATATCTGTTGGAATCGACTCATGAACAGTTCCAGCCATAACTAATGACTAAACACTGATTCTAGTTTTGTGCAATTTGTCCAAGATATCGATCGAGCAAACGAGCTCAGTATTGCCTGTTCCCATGTTCGGGCTTCCTGGACTAGCCGTTCGCAGCTTCCTGGACTATTCACAGCGAGCCCACCGACAGGACACCAAGGATACCACAGGGAGATACGAACAGTACAGCATGACTTACACAGCGCCATCCGGTGGGCTCAGCGACACACTACACAGAGTGCTCCAAACATCCCAGCTCTCGGCTAAGGGATGTGACGGACCAGGGCTTGAGCAACCCAATTCACTTGTTTAATTCAACGCCCTCAACTTCGAAGCCATCTCTAGCGACATGACGCCACACGCCAGAAAGTCAGCCAACGAGTCACCCTCGTGGAAAAAGCGCGAAACTACTGTTCGCAAGCGGCAAAGCATTCCAGAAAGTCTGGCCCTGCGCGGTCCTCAGGAAGTTCGCTCCGCCCAAGCCATGCCAGTACGCCGCGCTGCTGATCTTCAAACGGAGCTCGCTGCAAAGTCGGACCGCTGGCGGGCGCCATCAATGCAGCCAGTTGGTGGAGAATCCATTTCCCCGCCATCGCTGAATACCATCAGTCACGGACGGCACTTCATAGCTCGATGCCATCCCTCGGTATACAGGAATACAGGAATCATGGCGCCTCACCGGCCCCTGGGCGGCATCTTCCCTGAGGCGTGTGTTACGACCGCGAGTTCGACTCCGCCCCCAGTGGCAGGAGATACTGAAGGCGAGCACCGATCGCGCCTGGCTCGACTCCGCCCCCAGTGGCAGGAGATACTGAAGGCGAGCACCGATCGCGTCCGGCTCGACTCCGCCCCGAGTGGCGGGAGGTACTGAAGGCGAGCACCGATCGCGCCCGGCTCGACGCTACCCCGAGTGGCGGGAGGTACTGGAGGCGAGCACCGATCGCGTCCGGCTCGACTCCGCCCCGAGTGGCGGGAGGGTACTGGAGGCGAGCACCGATCGCGCCCGGCTCGACTCCGCCCCGAGTGGCGGGAGGGTACTGAAGGCGAGCACCGATCGCGCCCGGCTCGACTCCGCCCCGAGTGGCGGGCAGCGCTGGAGGCGAACACCGATCACGCCCGGCTCGGCGCCGGCGTTCCCGACGACGCCGTGGCATCGCTCGCCGGAGAGCAGCGACGCGGACGGGAGTCGGCAGACCAGAGGAGGCTCCAGCCTGACGGGCGCCACCCACGTGGACGGACATCGGCAGGCCAGAGGAGGCTCCAGCCTGACGGGCGCCACCCACGCGGACGGGCATCGGCAGACCGGACGGGAGTCGGCAGACCGAGGAAGCGAAACTGCTTCTGGGTCAGATTACAGCGCTCCGACAGCACTGACAAGGTCGATTCAACGTAACTCACTCGCTAGGAAGAGCACGCGGGTAAGAACGGAGAGACTGGTAGGTCTCGCTCAACCTGCACGGACGTGGCATGCCGCGTGGCAAGTGAGTTCGAGGGCATACGGGCATGCATAACTCCGACCGATTTTAAATGTTACACGGTTACTCAAATCCGTTTTACTGCCTACGAACACCGGGGGTTATCCAACCAGCAAACACTTCTCAAACACACATTGAAGCGTCACTACGCTACGAGGAGCTCAAGGGTTATCTTTTGAAGACATTTCCGTTGGGCGAAAAATGACAAAATTAGCTTCGCTCCGTCTGTCCTGAAAGCTTCAACGTCTTGGCGCGTAAGACTGCCGGGTCACAATCTAGATCACATGTGCCAGCGAAGCAAAAACGCGGAAAATATGCCTTTTGCTATGCTGCAAACGTAAGGTCATAAAACTGTCCGCACAGCGTGCGGACAATTATTTTTAATAACACTATCTAGGCATTCATCTGGCACACAATACACGTATTTCATTACTAGTTTATAGTTCAATACTCATTTGCGAGTTCACATTTAAATAAGTCATCCCAAGCGACGGCCAAAGCCGGTGAAATGCCGTAATGTGCATCAAATCGGCTCGCGAAATCGTTCAACCCAGTTCGACATGACCTATAAGTCATTCAAGGTCAAACTCATGTACGGGAAAACGTTGAAGACATACCAAGGCATGTGCCTCAACGTCGTTCGTTATGATCCACCAGCCAAAAGTTTAAATATCCACCGTTCTCATATTGCGATTTAATGTCACCCATCTTAAATACGCATTTGGCCCAAATGAAAAATGCAACTGTGCTCCGGCCACTCCCAAACACCGACCTGGCAAATCAAATGTCATCCAGTTCAGTCCGATGCAAAGGAAACAACCGGCCTTTCCCTACGCTTTTGACCACCGCAATCCCACCAGATGCGGGTGCCTGAGCCTGAGCGATGTTACGTTTTCACGCAGAAGCGCGGCTACATGCATTCAGCCGAATATTCAACCAAGACGTGAACCCCTACAACAGCAGGCCACCCATTCCACTGGAGCGAGCGATCCCATGCCTTCAGCCCAAGCGCATCCCAAACCAGGAACCGCACAACTGTGACACGGCCACGACAGCTCTGATGCGACCTAACTGACCACACTGCCGGCACATTTAAGCGAAAGAGCTCCCAACCGCGCACTCAGCTGCAATGAACCTCAAACTATTCGCCCCCCCCCCCCCCACAGCCGCGGAGCTCAAATCTCCAGCGTCATACAAACAAAGCCTTGATGCGCCCAGGTGGCCAGAGGCCCAACGGAAGCGCGTCCCGGAAAACCCCTCGAGCTCAGATCGGACCGACGGGAGCGGCAAGAGGGGGCGCCGCCACTCACGCGAGATGACCCGCTGACTGCAGATGTGCTTCTCGAGGGCGCGTCGCAGCACATACTCGGCGCCGTACCGGCCGGCCGTGCCGTTGTCGGCCAGGATGAAGTGCGTGTGCCGGCTGTTGAGCGGCGCGCACCGGCTGCGGGCAAGCGAGCAGGCTCCGTCAGCCGACGCCGGCCGTCCCGGCGTCGCGGCACGCACCAGCAGGACACACACAGGCGCGCGCGTGGACAGGCTCTGTCAGCCGACGCCGGCCGCCCCGGCGCCGAGGCACGCACCAGCAGGACACACACAGGCGCGCGCGTGGACAGGCTCTGTCAGCCGACGCCGGCCGCCCCGGCGCCGCGGCACGCACCAGCAGGACACACACAGGCGCGCGCGTGGACAGGCTCCGTCAGCCGACGCCGGCCGCCCCGGCGCCGCAGCACGCACCAGCAGGACACACACAGGCGCGAGCGTGGACAGGCTCCGCCAGCCGACGCCGGCCGCCCCGGCGCCGCGGCACGCACCAGCAGGACACACACAGGCGCGCGCGTGGACAGGCTCCGTCAGCCGACGCCGGCCGTCCCGGCGCCGCGGCACGCACCAGCAGGACACACACAGGCGCGCGCGTGGACAGGCTCCGTCAGCCGACGCCGGCCGTCCCGGCGCCGCGGCACGCATCAGCAGGACACACACAGGCGCGCGCGTGGACAGGCTCCGCCAGCCGACGCCGGCCACCCCGGCGCCGCGGCACGCACCAGCAGGACACACACAGGCGCGCGCGTGGACAGGCTCCGCCAGCCGACGCCGGCCGCCCCGGCGCCGCGGCACGCACCAGCAGGATACACACAGGCGCGCGCGTGGACAGGCTCCGCCAGCCGACGCCGGCCGTCCCGGCGCCGCGGCACGCACCAGCATGACACACACAGGCGCGCGCGTGGACAGGCTGTCAGCCGACGCCGGCCGCCCCGGCGCCGCGGCACGCACCAGCAGGACACACACAGGCGCGCGAGTGGACAGGCTCCGCCAGCCAACGCCGGCCGCCCCGGCGCCGCGGCACGCACCAGCAGGACACACACAAGCGCGCGCGTGGACGGGCTCTGTCAGCCGACGCCGGCCGTCCCGGCGCCGCGGCACGCACCAGCAGGACACACACAGTGACAGAGTGCACCACTCTCAACTTCCAGATGCTCCCAAAACGGCACGCTTTCACGTGTTTACACAGCGTGAAGAGCCAAGAGCCACCAGCGTGCACATGGTGACATTTTCGTGACTGTCCGCCTTTTCCAGTGGATCCTATCCGGCCTGAAACGTCCCTGTGCCATGTGGCAGGACCTGATCTGAAACGTCCCTGCGCCATGTGGTAAGACCTGACCTGAAGCGTCCCTGCGCCTTGTGGTAACACCTGACCTGAAGCGTCCCTGTCCCATGGACCTGAGGCGTCCCTGCGCGATATGGTAAGACCTGACCTGAAGCATCCCTGTACCATATGGTAGGACCTGATCTGAAGCGTCCCTGCGCCATTTGGTAAGACCTGACCTGAAGCGTCCCTGCACCATGTGGTAACACCTGACCTGAAGCGTCCCTGCGCCATGTGGTACGGCACCTCACGGTTCCGACCGACCAGCTGCTCGTGACGTCCCTCGATGACGCCCCAGGGCGCGATGCCGATACAGACGGCTCGCTGGCCGCCCAGCCGCAGAGACTGGCCAGAGGCCAGCGCATCGCCCGCGTGCCGGGTCACGCCTGAAATCGGAGCGGACTGTTAAGCGGCGGCAGCAGACGGTCGTACAGGGGATGGGAGCCGTTAGGAGGCGGGGCACAGCCGGACGGGACAGCAGATCTTACACAGAGGGAAGGGGACCGTTCCGCGGGGACAGGCTATCGTCGGACGGGAGACCGTCGGACAGCGGCAGGGGGCCGTCGGACGGAACATCCCAGGATAAATGTCAGTGTCGCACAGGAACAGCGGACATCGCACGGGCTGTCCGGCATTACCATTGCCGCCGTCTACCGGCTGTGCTCGCGTCAGGACGCCGCGACCGCCACGGCAGACGTGCCGGTCAGCCGGCCGTAACGCGGCAACGGCACACTCGCACGCGTCAATGCACGCCCCCTCATCGGCCGCGGCCGAGCCCGAGGCGAGCGTATACGGACCGGTGTTGGTGCCGCCGGTGAAAACCCAGGCGCCGGTGGTGCGGGCCGCCTTCAGCAGGCCGCGGCGCAGCGCCTTCTTCAGCTTGGGCTGCAGCTCGAAGTTGGCCTTGCCGCCGTGCACGGTGATGAGCAGCTTGGGCAGCTCGAGCCGCCAGGCCGAGACCAGCAGCTGCGTCAGAACCTCCGGCCGCGTGTCGAACGCCACGCGCACGTACTGCGCCTTGCTCGGGTGGGCTCCGCCCTGCAGGAGACGCCGCGGCGCCGTCAGGGGATGACCCGACGGATGTGCCGGGGGCGGGAAGGGGAGGGGGAGGCCTGCACTGCGCCTGGCTCGGGTTAGGTCCCAGACTACGGAAAAGGTGCCAGCAGTGTCGATGTGTGTGTGTGTGTGCGTGCGTGCGTGTGGGGGGGGGGGGCAAGCAGCACTATGCGCTGCGCAGGGCAACAGGAGCGCCATAATTCTCCGCATGCCACGAGGTCCATCACGGACAGCGATGGGGAAAGGAGGCTTCCATTCCTGTTGTCACGTATTTTTTGGCATACTCCAAGCCAATCAATGTCTGGCACAAACCGGAACGAATCGCCACGAACAGTTGATTAGTGCATTTACCTCTCAAGCCTGTCTGGCTTCGCCCCTAATTTGGACTTGTCGGCCAACAGACGGAGACGACACACGCACGCCAAGCCGCGGACCAGGCCATCCGGGAAACACCGCCTCATTGGGCCGACGAGGATGGAGAGAACCACGCGCGCACTCGATACAGTGTCGCACTGTCGCCGGCAGCCAGCCACGCGCAGCCCATACGAACAGACAGCTGCGATATATGCCACGCGAGGGTGTACCACAGCCAGGTGTTGCTATGGAGGGAGGGCTGAGGGCTGGCAACAGGCCGGCGCGCTAGATCCGAATCAACAACTTGGCCCGCACCGGTGTTTTGCACAGGTACGACCAACAGCTGACGATTTTTCCACCGAACGGACGAAAACGTCATGGTCAAGTTGATGCAGGATCAAGAAAACTTCAGACATGACCAAACTGAACATTTATTGCCAAAGTCCCAAAACAGATTTTGAGAATAACATCGAGTAAACAGCTATATCCAAGCAAACAACAGCGTGCATGGCTGTAACTGTACTCCCCACGACCGTGCCATCACGCATCTCAGTGCCCACATCGGCCGCGCCACCATATCCAGCACAAGCATCGCCACGCACTGACCGGACGGAGACCCGCGCACCGGCGCTGACCGGCAGCACAGCGAACGCTTCACCTAACTCTCAAAACGACATTAACGCACTCAAAATTCTGGCACTCAAAATTCTGGCTAAAGCAGGCGATAAGCCGCCTTTGACAGCGCTGGAAGCGATTTTCATTCAAGAACTCCACCTCTTGATCAAACGGCAGGCTGAGGCTTGCGGGACCCTGAAGCTATTAGGCTAGCCTCGACTGGGACCGACATCGTAGACACGGTATGCACCTTCCGATATACATGTGTGCGTGTTTTGCTTCAGGCCTGCTGTGCACGCATTTTAAAACTGTTATAAAGTCATATATGCACGGGCATATTTAACTGGTCAATGTAACATGGCCGTGTTAATATACATAAACATACATACCTGTCTTCAAAGATGTTACTGGGAGTGATAAAAGCGATAGGCCAACTCACGTTAATTAAGTTTACATATATATATATATATATATATATATATATATATATATATATATATATATATATATATATGACTGCCGTCGAATGATATCAATTCCGCTCTGGCCAGTACACCGACCTGTGCGCACTCGCCAATCGCCACCGAAGATGCCTCCCAGCTCCGAAGGTCGGTGGATACTGGCCCATACTTGCGAACTGTGTATTGCGGTTCGGGTGCTATATTGCGCTTCGGGTGCGCCCTATCCGGTGTTTTCAGTCACTGCTGCGGGATAGTCAGCTTTGTATCCGCCCCCCCCCCCCCCCCCCAGACTCGGCGCCCGCACGCCATGCTCTGGGTATGGTTACATGAAGCCCACATGACAGGCATCTCCCCTAAACCACCTGAACTGCCTTCAACGAAGTAGATTTCGGAACTGACTCACATCTTCCTGAGCTTGGATTGTAGCCGACTGAAACCTGATGCATGCTGCTCGTGGCCAGCGCCGATAAAAACAACACGAACCGCGGGTCGCTGTTGGAATCGATCCCACAAAATCGGAATCAGACTTCCATCGGCGGACACGGCCGACTGGCCGACCGCACACCGCCGCCACAGCGAACAGCAGACAACCACAACAGGCGTCTCTTCACGGAAAAGAAGCCGGTGTACTGGGAACGACGGCTTTATCTGCAAGTGGCTGTCACGCTGCGGATGCGCACCTCCGTATTGACGAGCCCGACTCTTGTACTGCAGGGGCTGCTCGCAGTGTTTGGCAAGTCAAATGAGAAAATGCCCACTCATCACATGCTCATGGCGTGCAAACGGTTACAATCCGACAGTATTGTCCCACGCCCACGATGTCCCCGAAACGCCCTTTCTACTAGCAGTCCATCACGCGATGTCTACGTACTGCGAATGGAAACAAACACAACACTGATTCCCTGAACCACTCATTTCCGACCGGCTCGTATATATATATATATATATATATATATATATATATATATATATATATATATATAGTGTGCGTGCGTGCGTGCGTGCGTGCGTGCGTGCGTGCGTGCGTGCGTGCGTGCGTGCGTGCGTGCGTGCGTGCGTGCGTGCGTGCGTGCGTGCGTGTGTGTGTGTGTGTGTGTGTGTGTGTGTGTAGCGATTAAAACGTCGTGGGGCCGCTGACCTAGGACACACTCGGGATGTAAACATCGCGACAAACGTGGGCGTTGATACTAAGCTGGACAATGGCCAGACCATCGGCGAGCTGGAACGCGGGGGGCGTTGTGGGGGGGGGGGGGGGTGCGGGAGTGGACAGCTGATGGATGTCATCCCGCCCCTTCCGTAACTTCCTCTCCACATGGACACACACACATAGAGGCACGTGATTAATAAACAGTGAATACAGCCAGGTGCCTTAACCGACCAGAGCAAATCCAGACACTCACTGACGCGAGGTCTCTGGGTCAGGCTACCAGAGGACATCAGCTTTAATTCGGACGATCTACTTACTGAGAAGAAGTAGAGTTTAGTCCAGAGTCATTTTAAGTTTTAGATTTACCGTTCAGCTTTAAGGAAACATGGATTTGTTCTGCCCCAATCAAACGGCCGTTGCATTTGCTGGAAAACAACACATCCTTGCATCTTATAGCTGGCAAACTTAGTTGTATTTTTGGGGAGAGCCTTTGTCCGAGAGAAGTCTGGTGATGACATCAGATAACGCTTGACGTAGAGTGAGCTTTGAGACCCATCTGTGACCCCTCCGAACCACAGGCCACCGCGGCGGGGCGGTCATGACCGGTTCACCGACGGCCTCGTCAGCCAACGAGCGACCCCCGACCGAACCACCTCCGCCGGAAGGCGGGTACCGCCGGCGGACGTCCGGTGACAGCGTGGGTGCGGGGGTGGGTGCGGGGGGTGGCACCTGCCTGGAACTCGATGGTGCCGTAGGCGTCGGTGGGGTGCAGCGTGGTGTGCCGCAGCGGGTTCCAGTGGTCGTCACCCTTCACCGTGTGCTGAAGCGTAGCCGGACTGCCGTCGCTGTGGTACTGCCACAGGTTGCCGCAGCAGCATCTGCCGGGGGCACGGGTCACAGCTCGGTCAACCCCTCCCCTTGCGGTGGCCCTCGGAGCCCGTCCGTGGCGCCGGCGGCACCGCCGGGCGCGAGGGGGAGACATTCTCCCGCCGTGCTCCATTTTTCAGAGGCAGTGGCCTCTTTCAAATCGCATCGCCTCTGAGCTGTATTGATCACTCGGCGTATCCTGAGTCGGTCACGACCAACTTTCCGGCGGTGGGTGGTCGGGATTCACTGAGCGGGGTCAGCGCTGGCGGCGCGATGCCGAGACCAGTCGCGCCAACATCATCCCACGTCTGGGAAACAGACATTCCTTACGAATAGACAACGTCCATTTCAAAAAGCTGCCTTTCAAGACGTGAGACAATAGCTGCGTTCTACATTTATATACTTCACACGTTAGTGACCGTTGGACAGAACGCGTGGAGCGGAGAGCGCACCAGCAAATGCATCTGCAAACGAGCAAGAAAAACATCTTGCATCATCAAACCGTTTTGGTGACTTATACATTCATTTCACATCCTCACCATTTTCGGCCGAGGACAGTCGACTTACCCCATTACCGGGACGTATGTGTGAATAAGTGACCATCCCATTATCGGGACGCATGGGTGAAGAAGTGACCACCGCATTATCGGGACGTAGGTGTGAAGAGGTGACCACCCCAATACCAGGACGCATGTGTGGAGAAGTGACCATAGTGTTGCGTGGCGTCACGGAACACCGCAAACGATAAAACAACATCGCCAAGGCCTCGAGGAAAGGTGCAAAGGCTTATCTGCAACGGTACCCGACCTTCCGTCACGCGGCTATCAAGTTTGCAGTTGTTAGGTGACGAAGAGAATGCATCACATTTTTCAGTATGCACAAAAGTACAGGGTCACCACTGTCTGAGTCACCCAGCCCCACCCCTATTCTTCTGACTTAACATGGGCCGTACGAGAACAGATGACCACCCTTTTGGCTGGACGGACGCCTGCAAGCACGTGACATTCATGACACCGTAACTTTTACATTGTTTACGCACGCTTTGCTTTCGAGCTGGTTATGCAATTGCAGCCATGTCATAGTATCTGCGGGTGCAACATTGCACCCCTGGATTCTGGCAAGCCAAAACGTCTGTGAGTGAGGAACCACGCATATTTATTACCAATTTTATCCAGCTGGTTTCCGTGTTAATTTTCTTCCCTAGGTGCCGTCCCAGTTCATTTATGATTAATCTCATTAGCAGTGCCCAGTGAGCAGTCCCAACACCCTCCCAGTGCAGTAGATGCTGTGAACTGGACATCACTGGTGCCCATTTGCATCCTTTGAGGAGGGCTTCTTCCCCCCCCCCTCCCCCTACCAATGACCCACTTACCCGCTCCACACCGTGAGTTTGGCCTCCACCCAAGCACTATGGACGTAAATACAGTGGAATGCGTTCTTAGCCATCTTGGAACCGCTGCCTGGCATGCATGCTTCATAGCAGGAACTCCATATTTAAAAACGCGAACACCATCCCCGTGTCCGACGAAGCTCTTAGGCGTATCCAGTCCGCCGATGCAACCACCGCGAAGATATTCAATGCCGCATTGAGACGGCGGGGTCCGGAAGCCCGCACCGCGCTATCTGTGACAACGTCGGTGGCAAGCGGCCATAGCCAACAGACCTTCCAGACATGCTGGTAGGCCGGGTCAACGAATTCTTCGCGGACATTGAGAGAGAGAGACTTCCGACAATGTACTACTAGCGACCTCGCTGGGTACATGAGACTGTTGAAACACTAGTGTGCGCGGGTTACTTTGCCTACAGCCTGTCACAGAACATGATTTAAAATCCCCTGTGGTGTCGATGAACACCAGCCGCGGTTGTCGTCACGATGTCGTGGCGCCTCACATTGCCGAGGTCTGCCCACCAGTCCTGACGCCAGCATACTGCAAATCATCAACCGCACTTTTTCTGTGGAATACTGCCATAGAATCTGAGGGACATCAACGTGCGCGCGCGCGCGCGCGTGCATGCGTGCGTACAAGCATGCGTGCGTGCGTGCATACGTGCGTGCGTGCGGATGCGTGTGTGTGTGCATGGGTGCGTGGGTGTGTCCGTGACAACAGTTATCACACACATGAAGTATCTGTCTTTTCCTAAATGTTGCAGCCTCTTACTCCGGGTCTAGCAGACCCTGGAGGTGCGTCACCAAGTGTCGGTGCTAAGACCTTGTTGATTCCGCAGCCAGTTTACCGCTAGCTCGCTGGCGAGGTTTGGAGCCGACGTGGATGCGTGTGTGTGTGTGCTCGCTGGGGAGGTTTGGAGCCGACGTGGATGCGTGTGTGTGTGTGCTCGCTGGGGAGGTTTGGAGCCGACGTGGATGCGTGTGTGTGTGTGCTCGCTGGCGAGGTTTGGAGCCGACGTGGATGCGTGTGTGTGTGTGCTCGCTGGGGAGGTTTGGAGCCGACGTGGATGCGTGTGTGTGTGTGCTCGCTGGGGAGGTTTAGTGCAAACGGTGAATCGACGGACGACATACGAGCTGCAGCCTCCCGAAACTTCACCCCATAGGATTTTAGGGAACGACTTACAACAGGGTGTTGAGTGCTAAGTCAGCAAGCTAAGTGATACCAGCAGAGATGCTGGCTACGAGCTAATGGAAGTAGTTCGTCTGGTCAGAAAATGAGTCACTCTAACCATGACAGATAATCCAAGGTGTCTGTTGGCTGCTGACTGACGACACATATCGACGATCGGCCGTTTTCAGGCGCTTGAATGGAATGTGGCGGGTGAATGCTTCCCGAGATATCTGGAGCATATCAAGATAATTCAATTTTAGTCGCCCATTGTTCGAAAATTCGAGCGCTTTTTCGAAGTACTTTCGAATGGACGTCCGCGGTGCAAGCTGTGACAAATACGGCGGCATCCGCGAACAACAGCGGACCGTTGATTGAAACTTGGCTGCGTTTGCGCTCAGACTGCTGGCGCTCTGCCGCGGGTTGTTAGTCAGTACGCACATCATGCACGCAAAGAACCGCAGGGTACAGTGGGTCCATTTGTACGCACTACGGATTTCAAAACAGCCTTCTCTGCTGGCAAGTTCGCGTTGCTGATCTCAGTGCTTCATGTAAGGGTGTCGATTTGCGTTCTTTCGTGGAGCCCTAAACCCGTCCCCATTTGTTAAGTCGCCTCTCCCCTAACGTTGGCTTTGTGCCCAACATTTTTGGCTGGAATAGTACAAAAGCGTACGAAAAGTTGAGCATCACACAAATAGTATATGTTTTAAACCTGCCGCGTAGTGGTGTCGCCATGGAGAGCGCGGCGGCGGCGTAACTCGACCCATAACCTCACAATGGCTGTCTCGAGTGAGGAGAACATTAGATATTAGGGGTGAACCATTTTATATTTGATGACTTTGTGACGGGTATAAGTAACAATCAAATACCTTTTTTAGCTCGAGACCAGAATTTCCTTGTTGTAAGACCTCACGTGGAAACAAGGTCGGATATTTTTTCCGCGGCAGCATTAGTTCAGATTATAGGTCCAGTTCAGTTAGAGAATGAAAAGCAGCGCTGGAAATAACGCTTTCGATGGGACGGATTTTGAATCAAATTCCCTCCTGAGCTAAATTTCTTGCTAGCACTCCGAGCCCATCATCCGATTATTACAGTGGAGGTTCAACGAACCCACTTTACCTCGGGCTCTATCCCTATAGCGCGAAAGGGCCTTTGCCGTGCCGTGCCACCGCGCGACTCTCGGCCGCCCTGTGACCAGGTCGACACTGAGTCTCCCGAAGTCCGGGAGTTCAATTCAGTTCACACGTCCCTGATGAAGTCGCCTACAGCCGGGTGTTGGTCGACAAGATACATCCAGTGTGACCAGCCGGAGCGGAAAGCCGCCGGCGTATGGCAACACCCGTCCCCGCATTTACGCCAAAGAGAAGTGTAAGGGTGTAAACACATTTTGAGTATAGTCACGCCCAGCGCGATGACGAGATCCCCACTGCCGTGTATACCCAGCAGGCATGACTCAGACCCACTGCCGTGTATACCCAGCAGGCATGACTCAGACCCACTGTCGTGCATACCCAGCAGGCATGACTCAGACCCACTGCCGTGTATACCCAGCAGGCATGACTCAGACCCACTGCCGTGCATACCCAGCAGACATGACTCAGACCCACACTGCCGTGCACACCCAGCAGGCATGACTCATACCCACACTGCCGTGTATACCCAGCAGACATGACTCAGACCCACACTGCCGTGCACACCCAGCAGGCATGACTCAGACCCACTGCCGTGTATACCCAGCAGGCATGACTCAGACCCACACTGCCGTGCACACCCAGCAGGCATGACTCAGACCCACACTGCCGTGTATACCCAGCAGGACATGACTCAGACCCACACTGCCGTGTGTACCCAGCAGGCATGACTCAGACCCACACTGCCGTGAATACCCAGCAGACATGACTCAGGCCCACACTGCCGTGTATACCCAGCAGACATGACTCAGGCCCACACTGCCGTGCACACCCAGCAGGCATAACTCAGACCCAGTGCCGTGTACACCCAGCAGACATGACTCAAACCCAGTGCCGTGTACACCCAGCGGGCATGAGTCAGACCCAAAGTACCGTGTACACCCAGCGGGCATGAGTCAGACCCACAGTACCGTGTACACCCAGCGGGCATGAGTCAAACCCACAGTGCCGTGTACACCCAGCAGGCATGGGTCAGACCCACAGTGCCGTGTACACCCAGCAGGCATGAGTCAGACCCACAGTACCGTGTACACCCAGCAGGCATGAGTCAGACCCACAGTGCCGTGTACACCCAGCAGGCATGACTCACGCGAAGAGATCGACAGTGACGGACTTCGATTAAGGTACCGGTGCTGACGTGGTCGGTAGCGTAAAAACAGGGCTGGCAAAAACGATCACAAATTGCCAATACCGGCAGCGGCCGGCACGCGTTAAAAAACACGGGCACCAGCGTGTTTTAAAGACGGCCCTTCGTGTGATTGCCAT